AAAACCCCGAAGGTAATCCGAGGAGCTCTAGGATATTCTTTGCTTTGTCGATTTGATTTTCTATCTGCGTTTTACTGAATCGCTAAACCTCTTTGTTGCTTATGGTTTTGTGAAAACGTTGCAGCAATCGTCCTCAACTACTTGAACGAGGTAAATTATCTTTCATTTCTCCGATTTACATTCTAATTTTACTATAAAAGTCGAATAAATTGATGAAATGTGATTTTTCCCTTCCGATTTTTGGCCTGTTTGGGAGGTGGGAAAATCGAACTGTGATTAATTTTCTCCTTTATTAGCTGCTGTTATTCTTTTTTTTTTCTTTTTTTCCTCCGTTTGATTCCCTGTAATTTTTGTAATTAGCAATTAATTGAAGGAACAAAGCATAAAACCGGAATTTTGTGTAGATATTTTCCGGGGAAACAAACAGATTTTTGCTATGTACAGTATGTGCACGTCCGAATGCTGATGTGAATTTGTATATCTTTGTCCAGCAAAATAGGCCGCTGAATTCTCAAAATGTGGCGGATTCGTTGCAAAAGTTTAACCTCAAGAAGGCGGCCATACAAAAGGCGCTGGATGCGCTTGCGGATAATGGGAAGATTTCGTTCAAGGAGTACGGTAAGCAGAAGGTCTACCTGGCTAGGCAGGACCAGTTCGATATTCCAAACAGCGAGGAGCTTACCCGGATGAAGCAAGAAAATGAGAAACTGCAGGAACAGCTGGGTGAACAAAAGAGAGCGATTAGCGAGGTTGAGGGAGGTACCTGTTTACCAGTCCTTACTACACCTCATGTTTTCACTAATTGACTGGTTTTCGACTTCTTAATTCTCGGTTTAAGACTTTGCCTTACTGAGTGTGAAATATGGCGATGCACTTTCGTTGCAGAAATTAAAACTTTGCAGGCAAATTTGACCCTAGAGCAAATGCGGGACAAAGAAGCGAAACTGAGAAAGGAGGTAAGTTAATTGGATACGTTTGTGCTTGCATTAGGTCAAAATATGTGACTGGAAATAATGTGTATGGAATTTGGATCAAGTTTGGTGTTTTGAATTCTGTATTAGGTCGCTGAAATGGAGGATAGATTGGAAAAATTGCGCGGAGGAGTTACGTTGGTCAAGCCAGAAGACCGCAAGGCGGTTGAGCAAATGGTCTCTGAGAAAATAAGTCAGTGGAGAAAGCGTCGAAGGATGTCCAAAGATCTGTGGGATGCTATTACTGAGAACTCACCGAAAGATGTCAAGGAATTTAAGGTATGCCTGCATTTGGATGTTCCGTCTTACGCGCAAACTATGGTGAAGTTGTGAATAGTCTGTTATGCTATTGCAGGAGGAGCTCGGGATCGAGTATGATGAGGATGTTGGTGTGAGTTTGCAGTCATTTAGTGACCTGCGCAGTAACAAGCGGCCTAGACTCCGTTGAGTTTTTCAGATGATGTCGTGCATTAGTCAAATTTTCGGAAATTAGTTTCATCGTGTTACTAGCAAAACGAAAATCTTAGGCTTGTGCATCCGTTGATTAGTCGATCAGTCGTCAATTTTACATACTGAAACCTTTATATATTATACATATGCAGCAATTTATCTATAGCTCCATGGCGCTTCGACGCAATTTATAGAATCTACTAAGTTTACATTTCCCCGAAAACAAAGAAAGAGATAAAGAAACAATCAAATTTATATGCAACGGAATTTATTAGCACAACGAGCAAAACTGATAAGGAAATATAACAAACAAGACTATTCTTCTTCTCAGAAGCCACGCACCCGTCTAGTCCTCAGAGAGAATGGTCCCTTCTCTATGTTTAGTCGTGGCGGGCTTTGCCTTCCAGATCCTCCAGTGACATGTGCTGCAGGATATTCAAGCCTTGACTCCGCCTTCAAGCCAGATCGAAACCTCGAAGGAATTTGGTTATGAGACGAGGGCGTTGTATTTGGTTCGTTGTCGCTTTCACTCTCATCAAAAACTATATCCTTCCCTAAAAGATCGGCCTGCCCTACGGCATCTGAGGACATTGGAATCACCTCATCTCCATCTGAATCTAAACTTGAAGAAGATGTTGACCTCTTTAATTCACCTCGACTTCGCTCATGCTGCGATTCGGATAGACTTTTAAAGGATTCATATCTGTCAGATAACTTTCCTCGTTTACTTCCGGGACTATTTTGATCATCAGGATCTTGAGATTCAGACCTAGAGAGTTGCACTGCTGCTCTAGCAGCATCTGCTGCGTAAGCTGCAGACTCGAAAGCTGCTTGAGCTGCATCAGCTACATCCTTGTATTTCCTTGGCTTAATCGAACCAGAGAACCTATCATCATTTCCCGTCTCTTCTGCAGAAGCCTGCACATTATCTGCTGGTCCCGTGCCACTTGAACCGGCCTTGTTCACATCCGATTTATCCTGCATTATTGATCACACACAGCAAACCTCAGATACCATGAATAATATTCGAAGTTCAAAGCAAATACGATACCTCAGTTCTAATCCTCTCCGAATTCCCGTTATTCTTCCAAATTACATACCTCGGTGTAAACAGAAGACGTTTCTTCCAGCTTCAGAACAATGTTATTCTCTGCAGCAATTTCTTTGAGCACCTTCATTCTGACCTCCAAAACTGGCATCCTAGTTGACAGTTTTTGCATCATCTTCAAAAACCGAAAAACACACAAATCATTAACATGCCAAATTTCTGTTTTGACAAACATGTAAGCTTTGCATCGAAATTAATAAGAAAACTTCAGTCTGTTCCAGATCATTACCGTGAGGTTGACTCCACAATTGTTGCGCACTTCGATGGCACGAGAAGCAAATTCCTTGCCAAAACGAGCAGTGAGAACCGCACGAATCTCTTGAAGCTCCGGAAAATCCCCACATCTTGAAGCCGCATAAAGCAAACTCGATGTTGCCTCCCTCAGTTCATCAGGGCATTCCCTATGTGAACAAAGACACCGCAAAAGTAATTACATTAGACCAATACCAATGAAACAAAATCAATCAAATTAGATCAAGGAATACAATTAGTTAAAAAAAAAAAAAAAAAACCAAACCTTTCTTGTTCAATGAGATGAACCCTTTCGATCACTAGGTTGCAATAACCCTCTATCATGACAAACACATCCAACATATTCTGCTCGTTAATCACATGCCCCACCTGCCAACAACATAAAACCAAATCTTTCAGCCTCAAAATTTCAATTCTTGCTAGAAATGCTTTTATCATACTGTGTAAGCGCTTTTGATTGTCATAAAGCGCTTTTAATCTAAAAATTCAGGTGCTTCCTGAAGCACATAGCAAGCGCTTCTACAACCCAAAAACATTGTAAGTTTTTCTGTCAAACATAGTCGAGTGTTTTTTATTGTCTGAGAACATTTTAGCCCCTACAAAATAAGTCTCAAACAAAAGGAAACACCCCCTCGTTGCACTGCAAACTGAATATTTTACAAGGAAACTTACGCGAAGAAGAGCGCGATCTTGGTGACCCTGCTGGAGGAGCTGGACGACATCGGATCGAGCCTGAGAGCACTTGGCCTGGCGCTGTTTCTTAAGAACGGCAAGGCGGGAGAGAGCGAGGTTCAAAGTGGGTTTGAACTTGGCGGTGTTCTTGTGACTCCTTCCAAGCAAAGCATCGAGCTTTCTTCCCATTTTTTCGCCTTCTTCTTCCTCTTCCCTCTTTCTCTCGGTCGATAATTCCAGGTGCTGCGGTACAAAGAGCAAGGCAACAAACGAGTCCTGGATCGTTTTCTGCTTTAAGGGCTGACGACGATGGAGAAATACTCGGTGACTACGACTTTTTATGAGTCGTTCGGACTTTAGAGGAGGTGTTGCTGACTTAAGGGTTAAGTTTCTAGATAGAAATTAGAAGACGCCGGGCCATGTGGAGACGTGGTTTTTGAATAAACGCGGTTTATTATTTAGTCTATAGTTGGACAATTTCTGCGAAGAGGAGCAAGGAGAGGTTTTTTTAATATATCTGCAACACGGAATGGTACGCCATACGTCATTATACATGTAGAGAGAATTTTATTTTTTTCCTTAGTGACACTCTTCTTATATAATGACATATGACATATATGTCTGTGTTCAGAACACACTAAAAATCTATCAAGAGCAAGGAAGGAATGTAGTTGATTTTACACTCTTTAGACACGTGTCACTTGAAACATTAGGCCCAACATGGATTCTTTCAAGTCATAGTTTATATGTTCCTGTGTAAGAAGATACACAACCTAACTTGTCCAATAATACATTGTCACGCGAGTTTTTCTGCACATGACAACGTATGATTTACGATGCTGATTTCATTTCATGTAAATTGCTCTTCTATGTAAGGCTAGATTTTATCACTCAACCCGAAACTCGTCATGATTTAAGTGTTTTGTGAACGGAAATAAAGCGTATTCGCTACTATACGGAGTTTTTTTAAACAGCATGCGAGGGTTTGGCGAAACCGAGTGTCCCTGTCGAATCATCCACTCCCCTCAGTTACCAGTTACAAGGCACAAGAGCACGTCAAGCAACCACCCACAGTTTTAAAGAACTACTTCCACAATCATTCTCCATTGCTTTTTTGTTTACTCGGCTAATCGAAATCACCAACCAACCAATTGCCCGTTCAGGAGTCGGGTGGCAGCGAGCACTTTTTAGTGTGGACTCGGTTGCGTATTTGGAAAATAATGGCATGTGGGGATGAAGCTTCTTGGAGATCTCTTGTGCGATTGTGTCCAAAAATTAGAAGATAGTAAGAGAGAACTGGTCCCCTCCAATTTTTTATTTGACCACAAAAGACACAACCCGCCAACTAGTCTACAAAAGTGACCCTAAAATTATCAAAAGCACTTAACCCACGCAATTGACATTTATCACCACTCCTGAGAACGAGTTTTGGGGACATGCTATCATCCAATTAATACAGTACTAAATAATTGGATGATGACACCGCTGAAAACGAGCTCTACGCCAAACTTAAACGAGGCACACGTCTCGTTGATTTAACAAGAGTATATATAAAGATTCAGTAAAATTAAACAATTTTCGGCATCAAACGTTGGAGAACAAATCCATCTCCTTACAGAATCGATTGAAATATACAGTATCAACAGTAGTTGCCGTACTATATAGTAAATTAAGTATTACAAAAATTATGTCTCTATTCCCTTGCTATATGCATGTCCGTAACCAAAAGGAAACAGACCCTTGCATCGTCTAATTTCGAATAAAACTTTGGTGGAAAATCGAAAAAATGACTTTCTTCACGTTGTAGACAGCAGGGATAAAGAGCAAATCTTGGCTATTGTAGCCACAAACAAAGAATAACACCAGACCAAGAAAAACGGACCGAGCCCCCTAAAAAATCAATCCAAATCCAGAAGGATTGAAGAAATCAAAGACCCTCTTGGGTTTCATCTCCAATTACAAATCAACCCGGCTTAACGTGAACTAAGAGTATATTAGATCAGGGAGAAGTTGTTGGCGGTGACATCAAACAAAAACCAGAGTAAAACCATAACTAATTACACCAAAAACACGTTACAAACCAAATTATGATAACAATCGAGCTTATCAATGATTCCAAAACTGGCATATGTGCATAAAACGACAATGCAAGGTAATAATTGAAAACGGTGGGCAAGAAAAATAGCATGTTCTTTCACGCTCATCAAACAAAACGGACAACAGAATCATAAGCAAATGGTATCCTTCAATTCATGATAACCTCACAGAGAAGTTGGGCTTAGAGAAAAATATGAGTAAAGCTATGATACTATGGAAGTACAACAAAAGATTTGAAGTGTTAAGAAAAAACTAAAGTCGGGTGTACCAGAGAAGCCAAAACAAATAAAGCACATCCGCACAGGCAATATTTTTGAGTAGCCAACAAATAACAAGAATCAACCCCTGAATGTGCAGGCCGACAATGTGGCTTAACCTTATTTGATTTCATGGCATTGTATCCTTCCAGGTGTTCAAAAGTGCTGATCAATGTCGCGAAATCGAATAAGGTTAAGCAACCTCCATAAGTACATCAGTTTCAAGGGAAACTAATTATGCTAGTTATGTTTTAATTTTTCAATAGGAATTAAATTGTGTTTTCTTTAGGTTCCTAAAGTCTTAACACAACTGTTTTAGCCAGTGTCAAAGTTATAGCCTTATTTAAATTTCACTTCACACAAAATGCACACCAAGTTAGACATAAATATACTTACAGATGGCGCAGGAGCAGGAGCATGGGGGCCATACCCTAAAAACATAAGCACCAAAATTAATACTAAAGATCGTAATGAAATACACTGCACGTAAGGAGTAAATTCATAAGCTAACTTACTCTGAATTTGTTATAGATCCAGCAGCAGCCTCATGCCTCCTGTGCAAGTGCCTCCAGAATGGCCATGAATCAGATGCAATGCAATCTCATTAGGATATGTATTTATTTAAAAGGTAAAACAAACAAACAAAAAGTAACATACAACGCTCTCAAGCACAGACAGACTGAAAGAAAAACATAGATGTCTGAATACAACACGTCAAAGAAAACAAACATGACATGGTACAACGCATCAACTGAACCCTGATTTAGAAGTTCCAATGCACATTTCAGAATGCATGCACATGCACATACACTTCAGATAACTAATACTCGAGTAAGTAAATAAAGTAACCATCCCCACACCAAAAAGAAGCCAACTTAATCTAGAGCAGTGACACTAAGATTCAATTTAAATAGGTTTCCAAGCGACCCAGTAGCTTTATCTAGGAACAACAGAAAGGCAAAGCATGCATCAGAATGACATTTATTTCTAAGTCCCTCACAATATTCTCCTAATAAGAAAAACCAAGGTACCTTCTCCTGGGTTCCTTTTAAGCATCTAAGCACTGGAGGGTTGCCTCATAGCATTATCACATATCCTGAATGAAAAGTCAAATTAGAATCTCCAGAACCCAAATAATTAAGAAACAGTGGCTATAAAGATACAACTGACAGAGGACATGAAAGTGAAGGATGTTTAACAAACCTACCAATACAACAACAACAAACCTACCAATCATAAACTAAATTTTAAAGACCACAATTACCGAAGAATGAACTCCAATACAAGCAACCAAGAAAAAAAAGTACATAGTAAGAGAGGAAAGTACAGAAAGAAAAATTCAAGTATATGTTTTGTAAACAACTGCTGAAGATAAATATATCTCCTGTTGTTCCACAGATTAAATTGCAGAAACCAAGTTCAGAATACACATATAATCATGATGGAAAATTAAAATGGATGTAATTAATTTTCATATTTGCCAACCATGAATGATTACAGGGGGGAAAAGACGCCTTTGGCTAGTTGTCTTACGATAGAAACAGTACAATCCACTGAAAGAACCCCCGCCAGTAATGAGTACTCCTGACCAAAACATCACCCCCTTTTGACTTCAACCATGCCAAAACTGTGCCAAAAGCTCTCAGGCCATCACAGAGAAGAGAGATAATGCCCAATTATTAGAAACTGTATAAATTAGGTCAAATGTACAAATATCTAGCTCAATAGGAATTCTGGAGTCAGTAAAGCAGCAACAGGGTTCACTTGCCAGTGATGAATAGATGGTTCAAAGCTTGTGATACTGTCAACCTCTTCTCTGGATCCAATACAAACATTTTATCTAAAAGATCTTTAAAATCAGCTAGCATCTTTGCATTCTCACCAGAACCCGTAATAAGTGATCCAATATCTTTTGGCCTTATATTAAAAATCACCCGATTGATTGCCTGCACAAGAAGAATGTAAAACTCATACACTTGATAGGAAACCACAAAACTCTGATACTTGACAAGAAATAGATAGAAACAAGCCAGACAACAGATGCATACCTTCTTTGTAACAGGATCATCTTCTGTAGCATGGAAGTTCAGATCCTGATCAAAATGTTGATGTGTAAAAGCTCCCTATAAGAACAAAAACCAAGACATGAAAAACATTAGCAAAATGAATACCTTCTAGATACAAGAACGGGCAAAACAGTAATAAGATGTTAGAACATATTCATACATAAACATAAAATGTTGGTGAATGTCAAACCCAATACTTGCCTTCCGAAGCATCTTCTTTGGGAAAGGGCCTTTCAGTTCCATGTGAAGACGTAGCATATCGTTGTTTGTAGCACCGGGAAAAAGAACTTTTCCTGTATAAAGTTCGTACAAACAGCATCCAACTGACCAGATATCCAGTGGATGATCATAAGGCAAGCCAAGAACTGCAACCAAGACATATCAAATACCAGATCAATATTTTACGTGGACATACTAATCATGTAGGATATATTTTAAAAACTGAATAATGCATCCCAATATCCCATGACTTGAAAAAACCAACATTAGCTCAACAGAAAAGAAAAGAAAAATTACTTATTTCAGGAGCACGATAAAAGCGGCTGACGAGGTATGGTGTAACTTCATTCTTTCCAGCGAACATGGCATTACCAAAATCACACAGCTTCAACACATTTTTTGACTCATTTACCTGAAACATAAATTACTATGAGAAACATAAATGATTCGAGATACAATCCAATCAACAGAGTAGCAAACACCTACCAGCATGTTATCTGGCTTTATATCACAATGAAGGACACCACAGTTCTTTAAATGCTTCAGTGCAATAAAAAGTTGCTTAGCATATTCTCTGACGCCAGTTAGCTTAAGACCAATATTGCGCCCAAACTTCTTTAAGACCTCGCGAAGATTCATATGAAGGGATTCAAACACTAAACAAAGATGATTTCGATACTTGAAACTCGACAGAAAACGAACACAGTGGCGCTTATTATCTGGATCATGACCCGCTAATTTCTTCAATATGGTCAACTCAGTCATACCAGCCTTTAACCTATTCACATAAAAGCAGCAAGAAAGTAGGTAAAAGAGTAATAGCAATTCATTTGTTTTGGGGGGGGGGGGGGGAGCTAATAGCAACACAAGTGGTATCATAATCACTTACATAGTGTCATTGCTCCGTATAATCTTAATTGCCACTTCTTCAGGTTCACCATTACCAACTGTAAGGTTCTTTGCACGGACTACTGTTGAAAAGACACCCTTCCCATGAGCAGCAGTGATTTCATACCGAGCATCAAGTAATTCTCCGAAACGGTGACCTACAAAGGAACATCATAACAAATGAGAAAAGTAAAAATACAGTACGAAAAAAATGTTTTGGATGAAATATCAACCTAGGCAATCAAGTAACGCAGCATTATATTCTGTACAAATTCGAATGCAACCGAGAACAGTAAACAGGGAAGCATAGGGTAGAAACTAATTCAGCCAATAAGAGAGAACATGGGTTGGGCTATATGGAGATGCAAGATTTTTTTAGAGCACTGCATGAAGAAAAGGGGGAGGCATGGCAATGCAACTGTTAACTGAAAGAGAACATTAAAAGCCTATCATAGGTGGGGAAAATTCCTAGCAAGAAATAACAATAATTAGAAAAGACATATTAGAACTGGTCATATACTTACTGTAGTACCCTTCTGCATCATCCCAGTTATCATGAAGACCACTCCTTTCAATTCGTACATGATCTCCTTTTCCCTGCACACGAAATAGTGCAAAAGATTTAAGTCTAGCACTCCAGTTAATCTTCCAAATGAGACACAATGAGAAAAACGTTGTTCAGATATTGCCCGTATGAAACTGTTGAATGAAATTAAAGAAACTGCAGTCGTGAATACAAATTCACAACAACTATGACAAAATCAATCACAAATGAATAAACACGTGAACTGAAGCGCAAAGTAACAAGCAACGTGGACGAAGGCCAAAGCTTTCTCATTGTTGTCCATGCAAGACAAAAACATGTGCACATTAAACCAAACTAATACCAGATCAACCAAATGCATGTTATTCAGGATATAAGATTGGACCCATATTTACTTAACTCTATGAATTTCTAATCCACGCCATAATTGCACAAAGTTGCACTGCATAGGGAACTAACGTACATGACACTGAGACTCACCAATTTTCGTACTCCAACCGGGGTCTCACCAAAGATATCATCAACGCCAACAGCTCCTTCACTCTGCACGAGTTGAAAATAAAAATAAAAATCACATAAGTCAGTTAAATTCAAAACCTAGCAAGTCAAGTTTGGATGTAAGAATATAAAACTTCGGGTTCCACAACAAATGAATCTATCTTTTCATAATAAAAAAAATATTCATAAAAAAATCTGGATAATATGAATTTCAGGATGAGTGGACTGACCTCTGGAGTACCCTCTCCAAGCCCTGTGGCACCAGAAGGCATTCTAGAAGTATCAGCACCATTCTGTTGAGGTGAAACAGAAAATGCAGCAACAGACACATCTCCATCACTCCTTCCATCGTCAGTTTCTAGACCAGGTTGGACAGCAGCTGCTGATTGCTCCAGATGATCTGCAGGACCTTTATCTGCTGATTGCTCCAAAGGCTGAGGCTCAAATTGCTGCTGCAACTGTGACTCAGTTTGTTCTCGTAGACCCAACTCATTTGTATGTTGTGACTGCTGACTTTTATATTTTTCTAAGATGGCTTGTTTTATTCTTCGAGACTCTTCCTTTATTCTATCCACATCATCCTCTTCCTGGCCAGCAACTTGAATGCCTTCTTCTTCATCTTCATCTCTACAAAAAAAAGAGGAATATATGCATCAAAGGTAAAAAAAGGGTAAGGGAGGGGGTGGTGTGTTTCAAAACAAGCAACTACCTTTCTTTCGTGCCTTCATCACCTTCAACAGAATAATTCTTTGGACTCTGTACCTTTCCTGGATCAGTTTTACTTCTTCTGTCCTGGTCATATCTTTTTCATCATGCCTTGATCGAGCAGAATGTTTATGCCTATCTCGATTTCCATAGCTATCCTCATGATTTTCATATTTCTCCCTCTCCATAGCTCGACCCCTATCCCAGTCTCTATCATCTCGCCGCTCCCATTTTCGGTCTGTAATTCTGTCCCTATCTCGGCCCCTCTCCATATTTCTGTCCCTATCATCCTTGACCCTGTCCCTGCTCCTATTATTATCATCCCTATTCCTGTCCCTGCTCCTATGCCGCTCTTCCCTTCTCCTTTCCATATCAACCACTCTTTCCCTGCTATGGTCTCGTCCTATTCCTCTTTTCCTGTCACTACTCCTTTCTCTTTCTTTCTCCCTTCTCCGTTCCCTGTCCCTGATTCTTTCTTGATCTTTCTCCCTTCTCCGTTCCTGATCCGCCTCCCTCTCCCTACTTCTCTCTCTTTCTCGACTACGACCTAATCCAGAGTATCTGCTATACCTAATATTGTGTTCCCTTTCATCATCCCTCATCGGATCAACACTGTCAATACCCCGAGCCATTCCTTCATCATCAGAGCCGCGCACAGCCTTGCTTTTCTGAACATATATTGAGCTGTCCCGTTCATGATAACATCTCCTTTTCGAAAGAGACTCTTCTTCTATTACACTACGGGAGCGAGATCTCTCCCTCACAGGATCGTATGACCTTGATCTGCTCCTACCGTGCAGCTCATCACCGCGCCTATCACCAGATGGTGAGCGCACCAAGGTATTGTATTTGTCCCCACTACTTCCAGATGACGCCTTTTTTCGATATGCTAATTTACCCCTGTCTTCTTTTTCATCATCATAGTAATTCTTTAGCTTATCACTTCCTCTAGAAGGGGACCCAAACTCCCTGTGTCGCCTCTTCTCCTCTTTGTGAAAAGCCAAGTCTCCATTGGCATCATCCTTTACACTACCACTGGAAACTAATTCATCTTGAGGCTCAACACTAGAATCTCTAGGCAAACTAGCCTCATTCCAAGACTTACCAACAACATGACCGCTGGTATCATCATCACCACTGAGGTCTACCCCAGTTTTTGTATTTTTATCAATGTCATTGTCTCTCTGCCAAAAACACCACAAAAAAAAAACGTAAGTGCACGAATTGCAGTAATTAACACCAATCCGAGGACAACAAATAAAAAAAGCTAGTTAATAACATAATATGCAATGTAACCAACTCTTACAAATTAACAGTAAGTCATCAGTCTTCTTTGATTGAAACGCCTAGGGTAACTTCTTTTGCAATTGATTCATGTTCGGCTAGTGCAAGAGCGGGTTCTTACATATGTATGAAACAATGGCACTGACTCAGCCACTTGAACAAGCTCTCACCAAACAAAATTTCATCATACTGTTGAGAACGAAATATAAAACTCTTTTGGCCACTGAAACTACCAAATTTCCAAGATTTTCAACTAATTAAATTTTAAAGAAATGAAAAGAAAATGAAAACCCATTTAAATTTGAAAACCAATTAATTATAAATTTCATGAAAACAAGCAAGCAACGGGCAAATGAAAAATCAGAAGAGAATGGGGGGAAATCAGAACACACCAGATTCCGCTTATTAGAATGATCGCCGACTCCAGGAGCCTCAATTTCACCAGACTCTGCATCAGAGCCCGCTGTCGTCTTCAAAACGCCGTCGTCCCGACCACCGACACCCTCCTCGTCGAGAATTTCGCCTTCCTCCACGTCTTCAACAGGCATAGAACCATTGACACCGGAATCAGATAACTTAACAGGCGGCGATGGAGGAGCTTCGACATCGTCGACGACGGTCTTGGTCTCCTCTTCGCGCTTTTTGCTCCCGTGACGGTGACGGTGGTGGCGGCGGTGGTGTCTGTGCTTGTGGCGCTTGGACGACTTCTCGACGGCCTCGTCGTCGTCGGAAGAGGCCCGGCGGTGCTTGCGATGTGAGTCCTGGGCGTCGCTGGCCATCGGGAAATCTAGGGTTAGGAGCTGGTTTTTTGTCGTTTTTCTGCTTTTGGGGTTTTGTCAGAGAGTCGTGAGCCAGCGAGATATTTCGTCTTAATTTATGAGATTTTTTGAAGAAAATTATATATACTTTTGAGATTTGAGACTGGGAACGTGACGTATGGGTTTCCTTATTGAATCGGGACAGCAACGTCAAACGCTGCGTTTGAATGGTCTTCTATTTTATGTTTTATTTTCTTGTATCCATTTATTGATTCTATATTTTGTCCGTTGATCGACTTATTGGGCCTATATTAGACCACCTCCACCCCACATGAATATACTCTGGGCTGTTGGGCAATCCAATACTCAGGGCGGAATCGCCAGACCCACTGATTAGAGAACTAACGTCAGGCTGACATCAGCCACGTTAACATTTTTTTTTTTGCCAAACGCACACTTTAAATGCGCTAAATCTGACGATTGAGTCGACTAATAGACAAAGTTGGGGTCCGCGCGCAGGCACTTAGCTGAGGTTAGGGAAGGGTCTCTAGCCGTTGGATTTCCAGCAATTAAAAAATTCTAAAATTGAAAATAACGGCTAGCAAATGTGGCAAAATCTGGGCCGTTAGATATTCCGATCAACCGTCCAAAATTTTAGGACTTAAAAAAAGTTATATCGTTACCGTTAAAGTTGTGTCAAAAGTGCTTCCAAACGATCTCTTATTTTGAAAGAATATTTTTTCGTGAAGTAAATAAGTTTTTGATATCACTCATGAAGAGGTTTTAAGCAATATACTTGGTGTGGTCTACAAGTAGTAATCATAGCCTTTTGCTCCATTTGTTCAGTGCTGCCATCAAACTCTTGAATTTCCAGAATTTCAACTCTACGGTTCATCTTTTTCCTCATCTTTATCGCCACGTCTGCCGGTACAAACCTCCCGCACACGCTCACCTTGCGTTGCTGCTTCTCAACCAAATGTGTCTCTATTTCTTCAACACAGAACAAAGATATCGGATTATTAGTTTTCGGACATATTAGAATATGTATACATATATGTTGCTCCTTTGATAAGACGATAGTTTAAACTCTTCTCTAATTTAAGGACCTCGATGTCTCTATCTACAGATATCTTACCTTTCATATTTAGAAGGATTCTTCTTATTTTTCTGCAGCATCCATTGCAGTCAACATTGAGCCTCATCACCATGCAACAATACTGCAGCAATTCATGCACAAAACAAAGACGTATAGCCATGTCAGAATCTCCGGTTTTTTGGTAAATCGAAACGTAAACTGTTGAGAAACACACAGAACTTGCCTTTGCTGCCATGAAGTTGGAATTGCCAGAACCTGAGATGAATTTTTGTTGTTTTTGATTATTTGGGGGAGAAAAGGTCGATGGAAAAAAGTGCTTGTGGAATATTTGAAAAATGTGAAAGATTGTGAACCAAAGTGATATTCTGCACCTTTGGAATCTGGTTATGTTCAAGTTAAGAAAGAGGCTTTTAGTTCCTTTAACCTCACCATAAAGCTTTGCCTGTTTCCTGACATTATGGCAAGGTTAAGCATCACTTTTCTTCAACTCAAAGGTTTATGTTACAGAAATCCAGTCCCCAAAACACCATGGAATCGAACAACGGACTTACTTATGTACATATCAAGGCGAGAAAAAACAAAAATACATGTCCAATTCAAAGAATGAGGAACGCTTCTGTTGGGACTTATTCGGCTTGGAATATTCAATCAACATGAGGAAGAACGAAGCATCCTTCGAATCAACGAAAATTTGTTTAGAGGTTTTTTGTATACTGCAGGGACTAGCCGAGTGGATGGAACTTTGGCCGCACCGGGATATTTGCATACGAGCGTCACCCTCTTCTCCGACACATTCACCACAACCGATTCTACCTCTGCTCAAGCATGCAAACAATGTTACATGTTTACTGTGCTAATAAAACAACACAGTGCTATCAAATTATCTGGAACGTCCGTGAAAGCACATGCAGAGGTGGTCCAATTTTGGTAAACAAGATGCCCTAAAACATGACTAGCAGACAATCATGTACAACTGGTATGGAACATGTAGCAGCAGCTTTATTTATGGTCTTTCACTCTTTCCTGGCCAAGGACATTTGTCACTCTGAGTTCAAGAAGTTACCTACTCACTACTGCAGCTAAAGTTCATGGCTCTCAACCACCATAAAAGAACTTATTGTTCATATGTCATCGATAATGAGTTAATTTAACGCCGCCAACAAAACATACTAACAAGTTCGATGCACAATTGGGGGTTGTTGTATCTCCATATATTTCTGTAGCATAAACACTGCAACTTTGTATATACTATTTTACCTCTAGTCGTATTTTTTCCGGGCTTACCAAAATTGGTAAAGTTATGCGGAGTTGTACTGTTTATGCAACAAATATTCTCCGTGCGGGACGTACATTATGTTGCGTAAACAGTGCAGATAAAACTGTATGAAGATACATGAACCCCAAATTATACAAATGCAGATTCCAAATCATGTTAACGAAGAGGATGAGGAAACGTACCACCCATTTTTGACATAATGTCAGAAAGTCTCTTCTGGCAATCACTACAGCTTACATCAGCTGAGAGAACAACTTCCTGCAGCTGTTTTCAGCAACAACAAAAACTAAAGAAATGATAAGACCTGAATGTAAAAGAAGGAATCCTGAGAGAGGGAGAGGGAGAGGGAGGGAACAAACCAGAGGCATGGACAAGGATTCAGCAGAGGCAAGACTGGTTGCGGGAGAAAGCGAAAAGCTCCGAGACTTCATGCCGATTCCGAATCCTGCAGGGAGCTTCTTCTTAAGCCATGATGATGAGTACCACTGCAGGCCGTGATCCCACTACTTAAACACAACAGCAATTAGATCGTCGTCATCACGAAGAAAGTAAGTTGGAAAGTTGAAATCTCAATCTCATGAGGGTAAGTAGAAAATGATCAAGCAGCGGCTTTCCCCGACTGACAGAGCCTTACTACTTTTTTCAAGCAATTGAGTTCTTCAGTAAAATTAGTAATTTTAGACTCAGTTCCGGTTGGTGGAAGGAGAAGGATACAACGAAACAAAAACTTGTTAAAACAGCAACAGCAACGAAGAGTCTTTTCCTTACTTTAAATCCCCCCCCCCTCCCCACCCAAAACAGCAACAGCAACAGCAACGAAGTGTCTTTTCCTTACTTTATATTTGCCCTCGGTGTAAGATTTTCTTTCCTTCTATTCCATCGTATTTAAACGGTTATAATTACGCCACCACGTCTACATTTCCCCTCCCCCCCAAATAAAACAGCAATAGCAACGAAGTGTCTTTTCCTTACTTTATATTTGCCCTCAAAGTAGAATTTTCTTTCATTCTATTTTCTCTTATTTAAACGGTTACAATTACGCCACATTTATATATTTTTTTTCCTTCCCCCCCAAACAGCAACAAAGTGTCATTTCCTTACTTTATTTTTGCCCCCTTATCTGGAGTATGATTTTTTCCCCTCCTAATCTCTCTTCACTTCCATCCCCTCCTATTTAAAAGGTTATAATTACGTCATGTCTACATCTTATTTTGAATGTTTTATATAAAAAAATAAGACAAAAAGAAAAGCGTAAGAGGAGATGATAGAAGGAAATGGTTATAGGAGGGATGGAATCCTACTTCTCCCTCTACAGCACTGGTATTTCCTTCTCCATACTTGATGCGACAACACTTCTACATGACAGTGATGTCGTAGGACAATACTCATTGCGATACAGCTGTATTTTAGAGCCAATTATGTATTTAATTTTGCAGGTTAGTCGTCGATTTGGTGGATAGAGTTTTTAGTGTACTGTATCATAATATCTGTGATTGGATCAATGGCGTAGCCACACCAAAGGTTACGGTGGGCTGCAGCCCAGGGAGAGTGTGGCAATATATATATATATATATATATATATACACAGTTTGGTGTATAGTTTATATAATAGATAAAAAAATATGCAAGAAGAATTATTTTTAATGAAACTAGCCCAGTGAGTATTTAGCACAATTAAAAATATAAAAATTATATTGGAAATTATGATGTCATTTTGTTCAAGATTATTCTGTTTTGATTTAATGGGGTTTATATTGGTTTTAACCAATTTTTTTTTAAGATTGCTTTTACTTCTACTTTCAGTGTTTTGCTTTGTACTAGTTGTGTGGTTATAATTGAGATATCAAGTTTTCTATCTTCTTGTGTTTAAATCTAAATATATGTGAAATTTATTGATTCATTGTAATTTTTATAGTTTGCAATTGCGAAGCTTATTAAGTTCATGCCAAGCAAATTTTAAGCATACAAACAGAAAAGTTAAACTTAAATTTTTGCATACAATACCTATGTAACAAAAAAACACATTTGATTTTAAGATAATTTTTTTAGCTAGCCCACTCATAAAATATTTTCTGCCTCCACCCTTAGATTGGATACTTAAAAAAAAAATTCAATAACTTTAGTATTACGACGTTTGGTGTAGGACCGAGTTCTCGGTACATTGAAAACTTTCTCATTTTGGTAGGCTCCGCCTAATGTTATATTTGTTCTTGCAAGTTTTCGGAAAAGGGATCCTCGCCGGATCCTCTTTGTAGGAATTCAGAGGATCAAGCAATTACTGTCATTTATCATCGTGAGTTTTCATTAGATATTATTTATATTCAATTTTAAATTTTAAATAATTTATGACCGCTATATGATAAACAACCATGATTGCTTAATTCCCAGATGCCCTCAAAGAGGATCCAACAAGCATCCTCTTCCCAAGTTTTCAACTGTTTTGCATAGGATCCTTCCCTTCCCTTCCCTTCCCTACAACCATATCTAATCAAAACTTGTGGAAGAAAAAGTTGATATAGCTGCTGTGTTTTAAAGGCGACCATGTCAAATAAAGGCGACCAAGACAAACGGCCAACGGTCTGAAAAATAGAAAGAAAATATATTCGTCCTTTTAAATACAGCTGAAATAAAAATAAAAATAAAAAATCGCTTTTATCCCTCTCATCACACACAACTAATAACACTCAATGTCGTAAAATACAGGCACTTCAAAACCAGTCCTCCAGCCACATTCGAGATACCTGAATAAACTATGTCATGTGTTTTAACTTCATCGAATTCCATTACATTAATCATTCGCAAGACGAAAATGAAGTCCATATAGGGAAGGTGACAGGTTAGAATTTTATGAAACCAAAATACGACATACAAAATGTGAGGAAGTCTAAAAATCTCTAAATACTAAGAAAATGGTTATTCTACGTCTCTACTTGCACCCAAAATTTCTGCCTGAAATTTTTGCAGGGGCATAAGGCCCCTTCAGGCAATTTGCAGCACTAGAACAGATGGTTAAATACGTACATGGAGAGAGGGACATGGATGCCATGGCTTCTCAAACGAAACATTTCTCAAGAGATGACATTCTGCTAACTGAGCTAAGAGGGGCCTAAAAAACAGCGGCATCAAAAAGACGCACCGCAACAAAATATATACTTGTGGATGAAGAAAGAACAAACCTACATCACTAAACTTGTTAGCGAAGGCGCGACTGAAGAACTGAAAAGAGAATCCCCTAAATATTTGCAGTTCTCATGGTCAACTTTCAGCGACGATGAAATCATAAAACTTTCACAAGCACCGGATCCCACAAGGCCACGGGTGCTTTTACTATCCGAAACAATGCAATGCAGCTTCTGGACAGAGTTTCCGTTACCACGTCTTCTCTTCCTTGAGGACCTCCACTTCAGCTGGGCAAGTAGATCATCCTTCAAAAGATCTGGAACCTTGCCCGGTTCTTTAACCTTTTCATCTTTATTATCTTCAGCAAGTGGAACAGAATTATTCCATCTGGTTTCTTCTTTCTTCAGTGGCTCGCTATCACAGACTGTAGATTGTGCTGACACGTCATCTGAACACTTTCCCACAACTTGCTTCGTTTCTAAACTACATGAGATTAAGCTCACAAGTTCCGGCCTGTCGTTAATTTGAGCCCATCCTTTACCCAACCACTCTTGAGAATGTCTTAATTCACCACGACCAACAATCAACACCTGCTTCTCTCCTGCACATAGAGCAAATCTAGATATTTAAGCAAATAAACAGCAATACAAACACGAAAAAAACATATATTCAATTGGATCCTCATGAAATTCAATATTACTATTAGATTTAAAAAGGGGAGAAATCTTTACAAACCTGGGGAATACACATGCAGTCTACCATCAGAATCCTTCTGAACTACAATCCCTTCCCACCATCCATCGTGCCACCAGACATCCACAACAGTCCCAACATCAACAGCCCATGAAACTCTGCCTTTATTAGACGGTGGAGATGGCCGAACAATTGGCCTACCACAAGTCCAAAGACCCAATTGATCAGAAGCAGCAAGCTTAGAGGCCAAAATCCATTCCTACAGCACGGAAACCATAAAGTTCAAGCAAGCTATAGGTAAAGAACAGGTGTGCACCCAAAATTTTGAACAAAAATAACATGATGGAGATAGCAGCAAAACATACCTCTAGTTTTTTAGCTTCATCAGCTGCATCCTGAATATCTTGATATTGCACCTTCACTTTATCTTTGTATGTTTTGATAATCAAAGCTTTGAACCAACACCCTCTAATGCCACTGTCTTGTGAGAGGACTTCAACCTGGGACCCAACCACTAAATGCTGCTGCGGAATTTTCTTCACCTCTTTACGAGGTAAAACAGAAGAACCTGCTCTTCCAAGGCAAAAGGCTTCACTTTTATTTCTGCAATTAGTCCCATCTTTACTTTTTAGATTCACCACATTCCCATATACAGCATCCGGAGACTCCCTTCGGTCACAGTATTGCAAGTGCATGTCATCATTTCTTGAAGAATGATGCCTCTTTTTAGGTCTGATATCATTGGCACCATCATTTTCTTCCACTTCCAACCCTTCATCTGGCTGTTGAGAACTCCCTTGAACCTTTGAAGAAGCAAGTGTGTGCATGTATCTAAGTATCTCCTGTTTCCAATAACCTTTAACTTGAGTAATGTCAAAGGGCTGGACATCATCATTTTCAAACTGCTTGCGGCATACAAAGGGTTCCAAAAGAGTTTGTGTTGCCTCTCTCTTGAATTTCTCAAAATGATGGGGGCTGAGGACGGTAGCTAATCCATCTATGCATTCAATACTGAGATCTTGAAGACAAAGAGAAAAGAAAATCTCCCTGTCATTAAAATTGTGAGGCAAAACAATACCAACCTCATCAACTTTGTGAAACCACCGTACCACAACCATCTTGTTGCCCCTAGAATCCTCATACATATCTTCCAAGTGTGCAACAAGACGTTTATCCTCCTCGGCTAAAACAAATACAAAATCATGAACCTGAAAGTATTTGGAAAGAGGGGAACAGAACAATGAGTCAAATGTAAACATTTTTTAACAGGAAAAACAATACAGATGGTAAGATGTCCAAGAAACAAAAAGTACATGAAAAAAAAAAAGAACAGAAAACCAATAGAACTTACCGAAACTACAACACCATTCCGGCTAAATGATTGATAATGCCTCCGTTTTTTTCTGCATGTCCAAGGAGAGCCTAACCACAGAAACTCAGTGGTATGGTTGCCTAGCTTCCGCAATACTGTATCCTAAGAGAAAGACAGAATGAATATAAGCATTGATCAAAATAAAAATGTATGAAGCATAAAACATGAAGGGGAAGTAAATAGAGTCATAAGTCAACATAATCATTATTACCTTAAAGATTTCAATCCCCAACTTGCAAGCATCTATACCATCCGACACACTCCCACCCAAATCGGGTGATTTGAGAAATGATGTATCTGAGAGAATTACAAAACAAACAAATTAACACACATGGCATTTACCATGGACTACAGTAATAATTATATGATAACAGAGACAGACAGGAAGACCAAACAGTAAAAAGTAAACGACTATTAACAAAATAATTGTGTAAACTGAAACAAGCAAATAAAATGGATAAGTATCCATAGCAGATGAGTGCATTAAACATAGAGACAGAAAATCTGAAGATATAAACCATCACATATACCAAAGATCATTAGGGAACAAAAAATATTGTAGATTTGGCCATGAAGGGTCTTGACCTAGAGTTTTTGAGGGCAT